GTTCTTTAATTGAAATGTGCTTTGCTAACAGCGGAGCGGAGCCGACAATACGTGATATTGAATAGCATACATTAAAGTGATTGTTGTTATTTAAGTTTTTTGAGTGAATCTACGTTTTTTTAAACGTGGTCTTTCACTCATATTTATCACGTAATCATGGTCCTTCGCTCATATTTTTAATATAAACGTGGTCCTTCGCTCTGATTTATAATATAATCGTGGTCCTTCGCTCATATTTATCACGTAATTGTGGTCCTTCGCTCATATTTATAATATAAACGCGGTCCTTCGCTCATATTTATAATATAAACGTGGTCCTTCGCTCACATTCATCACGTAATCGTGGTCCTTCGCTCTTATTTATAATAAAAACGTGGTCTTTCGCTCATATTTATAATATAAGCGTGGTCCTTCGCTCTTATTTATCACGTAGTCATGGTCCTTCGCTCATATTTACAATATAAACGTGGTCCTTCGCTCTGATTTATAATATAAACGTGGTCCTTCGCTCATATTTATCACGAATCATGGTCCTTCGCTCATATTTAAAATATAATCGTGGTTCTTCGCCCATATTTATAATATAAACGTGGTCCTTCGCTCTGATTTATAATTTAATCGTAGTCCTTCGCTCATATTAGCCACGTAATAACCATCATTCGCTCATATTTACAACAAAAACGTAGCCCTTCTCTCATTTTTATCACGTAATCGTGGTCCTTCGCTCATATTTATAATATGATCGTGGTCCTTCGCTCATATTTTTTAATAAAAACGTGGTCCTTCGCTCATATTTATAATATAAACGTGGTCCTTCGCTCATATTTATCACGTAATCGTGGTCCTTCGCTCTTATTTATAATATAAACGTGGTCCTTCGCTCATATTTACAATATAAACGTGGTCCTTCGCTCATATTTATAATATAAACGTGGTCCTTCGCTCATATTTATCACGTAATCATGGCCCTTCGCTCATATTTATAATATAAACGTGGTCCTTCGCTCACATTCATCACGTAATTGTGGTCCTTCGCTCTTATTTATAATACAAACGTGGTCTTTCGCTCATATTTATAAAATAAGCGTGGTCCTTCGCTCTTATTTATCACGTAGTCATGGTCCTTCGCTCATATTTATAATATAAACGTGGTCCTTCGCTCATATTTACAATATAATCGTGGTCCTTCGCTCATATTTATAATATAATCGTGGTCCTTCGCTCATATTTATCATCTAATCACGGTCCTTCGCTCATATTTATAATATAAACGTGGTCCTTCGCTCATATTTATAATATAATCGTGGTCCTTCGCTCATATGCATAATATAAACGTGGTCCTTCGCTCATATTTGTCACGTAATCATGGTACTTCGCTCATATTTGTCACGTAATCACGGGCCTTCGCTCTTATTTATACTATAATCGTGGTCCTTCGCTCAATTTTATCATATAAACGTCGTCCTTCGCTAATTTTTATCACGTAATCATGGTCCTTCGCTTATACTTATAATATAATCGTGGTCCTTCGCTCATATTTATAATATAATCGTGGTCCTTCGCTCATATTTACATTATAAACGTGGTCCTTCGCTCATTTTTATCACGTAATCATGGTCATTCGCTCATATTTACAATAAAAACGAGGTCCTTTGCTCATATTTATATTATAATTGTGGTCCTTCGCTTTTTTATTATTTTTGTAAATGTAATTGTTGCTGCATAATTTGTGAACAAATGCAACGTATAACAACGTAATTCGTATCAGCGTTTTATAGTCATTACACCCGTTTAAGTCCTTCGGTCTTTCGGTTAGGTCCTTCGGTCCTTCGCGGTCCTTCGTTTTAGTGAGTACCTCAATATCTTAAAAAAATGTCTGATTCGTTTTTATTAGACCATTTTATATGCTCTTCTTTTTAAATACCTTCTCGTTTGGATATAGTTTGTGGTTCCGGGGATGTTGATGCAAGTAGACAGACACTATTATAATAAAGGAAAGTTGTAAATACAGCCATACAGCTGGAACGGGAGTGTGGATTTCGTAGCCAGCTGACAGTGACGTGATGTACACATGAGGAGAAAGGATATCGCCGAAACCTGGTCGTTTTTATTTTCGAGATGTGAAATATAATATCTGAAATTTGAAATGGCTATTTAGATGGTTAATTTATTAGTTCAAAAAATACCATGCTGCAATCTAAAATTGCGTCCCATATTTAATTTCATTTGTATTTTAATCTGACATAAAAGATTACTTAGTAAGGATAGTGGGGACGGACAGAGAGCGACAGCGCAATAGTAGACGAGAGAGTGTTTCTCCAGCTAGTCAACGAAGGACATTTCTGTAACTTTTACTAAAAGCAAGATTTGATTATGAGCATTGTTTGGATAAAGAAATATACACTTAAATCAGAGTTTCTGTCCACATGCTCCCCATTGAAAAGAGCAAATATAATGGGATCAAGAGAGACCATCAGTTTATTAAACTGTGTAAATAGAACAAGATTATAAATGAAATTCATTATATTTGTTACTGTAATCAATAAGTCATCTTTAAGTCTGGAAACAACCTCTCAATGAGTTTTTTTAATGGTTAGCCTCACCCGTCAAGGCTTGAAGCTTTCTCGTATTGATTATTTCGTTCTCAATCATTTAGCACAGATTGTATTTGATATTTCGGAATTTGTTATAGTTAGTTTGTTTTACAGTAGATTTAATTCATTATTAAATGAGAACAAACTCGTGTATTCTATGTTTTTTTTCAAGGTGTCATTTAATTTAAATTAAATATAACAAATTTTATAAACTATGGAGCTCAATTTATATCCTATTGTGATTGACAGGGGACCCTGAAAGAACACTTGTGATTACGTAATTGTGATCTGCTATAATTCTACTTCACGTAACTGTAAGGTGACAAGAGTGACCCAGCTATTTCAATGCCATCGTTTTATTATGATTCATTTTACCAATGATGAATTGACTTTGCACGAAATTGTAATAAGCGTGCATCAGAATTAACATATTTGCTTATTCATTCGTAAAAAAAATGATCATATTGAAATAGTAAAATGTCGCAAGTGTCGTAAAAGCCCGATTCATATTTCGTCGGCAACCGAAACTGGCGTGTATTGGATTCCTATTAAAATCACAAAAGTTGTTAATTACACTATTTAAATGATCGACGAAGGTATTCATTGTATCGCCGGTAGCGTGGGCAACCGTAAAACTATCATTTGCTTTTAATGACGCGAACGTGTATTCGTATTGGATGTATGTTTCAATTTATGTGGATATACGTGACTGTAATCCATGCAAACTCTTGTTCTGCCGAAAGACACATACAGTTGTACATGCACTGGTATCAATATATGATTTATTTGCCAATTATCCACAACATGCCTTTTAAGAACGGTGGGGCACCTTGTCGGTCGCTGGTGATTTCTTTTCATCTTGTTTCTATGTTAGAAGTTTATCATCGTGTAACACGTTCTTCATTTATAAAAGCGGTACACAACGAAGCAATGGGTACCTTGCTTAAAAAAGTTTCCAACTCGCGCTGCACGATTGTGGCTTTTGAGCGTTTCCCCTGAAAACTGTATTGTGCTATTTAATACTACTAATTAATACTACTAACCTTTTTAAACAAGATACAACACATGTTCAATATCAAGTAGGAATCGATTTCCACAATTGGAATGTCGTAGTTGACCGCAATGCTACCTAGTAGTACGTTTCTCAATAACGAGTATTTATAGACGATCAGTGCAAATATGCGTGAGCTACTAAAGACGGATACCTTGGTAACCTGTATATACCCTTGTTAATAGATATACTAATGTTAATTTAACGTACTGTGGTATATAGGTAAAACCAGTACTCAAATTGCCAACAAAATGAAATACGGAAATAAAATGTTTTTTGTTCTACATTTTAATGAAAACATCAGCCGTACGTAATATTTGGGTGAGCATGGATTCTTCATGGCTACGTTGCCCCCATAATATACATTTCCCTTTGGAGAAAGCACACTACATAACTATGCATTCAATCACCAAGTCTTACCTGCTGTAATGACAGTACTACTGGGCACATGACTTTTCCGAATAACCAATGTCCTTTCATTATCGTGGGGAATGTAAATGGCATACAGAAGATAGCCATCGTCAAATCGGCCAGGGATAGATTGATAAGGAAGATGTTCAGGTCTGTCCATAATCGCGTACTGAACATTAACACACCGATAACCAACGTGTTACCAACGAGTGCCAATACCATGCTGATAATGCAGCCGACCATCAGACAGATCTGCTCGATAGCCGAAACGGCTAAATCATCGACGGTGTATATCCTCGGGTAGTGAAAGATGTTAAAATTGGAAAGATTCGCATTCATTGTGGAACCTGTGAACACGCGGGACTTGGCAGATCCTTCTCCCTTGCCTACGTTTGAACAGCAGATAGATTGTACTAGTTGCTGACTACTGTATTCGGTATATTCAACATGAGATCCCCACGTATTGTGTAGTCTACCGCACTAAAACATCTGTATATGTAGTAAGCTATTCCATTATATTTGAAGGGGTCGATAGTTACGTCAATGCATTCAAACCCTATGTAGTATGCCTGTCTTATTTGTCACCGCTATCAGGGGGAAATCTTCTTTCTTTCGGGTTCTCCACACTTGTCAGGGGGAAACTCGTCTCGTCTCTCTATATCTCGTCCCCTTGAGGTACGGGATCGGGAAAGTCACTTTAACTTTACAGTCAAATAAGGCACACACAACGAAATACGTTTCAGCTCTCGTCTTAGTCGGTCAATCGAGCACTCTATAAGACACAGCGCCCTGGGGAAAAAGTCCCCAAGACTCTCTTAAGGCTGAACCAAGACTCGCCCAAGACTAGACTGCCTCAAGGCTCGCCCCTGGACTCTCTCGGACTGGACTCGACTGCCCAGGACTGCACTCTCTCTCTCTTCTGCGTCTGTCGTGGAGTATTCGCCAAGACCAACTCAAACTCTCTTTATTCATTTTCAAAACTCTAACCAATTACAAAACAGTAAAAAGACTCTAGGGCGTAACCTTCAATCATAAAGCCAATCAAACTAAGTACTGAATACGTCATATCTTTTGATTAATCGTTCACTCCATTAATAACTACGGATGTCAGAATAGCGACGGTATCTTGTAATTAGTTCCAAATCACTGAGCCAAGTTCCGTCCAAAACTTCAAATAGGCCTACACGATGACAGACATAACACAGCAATTCAGCTAATAATCAACTAATTAAGTCGGTCAACAGATACGCGAAAACAAATTCATGACACCGCACGCAACAGAATCAGAGTGTGCATTACATACAACTTTTGCTGTTGGGTTTTGTTAGATTGTTTAGGGAACAACAACAAAACAGAAAATAAATATTTTGTTGAAACTCTAATACAAAGTGTAACATAAGATATTTTACATTCTCAACGAAATTTAAACATGTTCATTTATATTATAAACTATCGGATAGTTATACACTAACAGTTGTATTGTATGTGAGAAAGTTGATATCTGAGTGGTGCTCCCAATGTTATATTTGTGCCGATTCATCAGTATTTGTGGATCGTCCATTTTGCAATAAACAGAAATAGTCTTATTTTCAGTATAATAGAAAACGTCATATCATACTATAGCGTATCTGTTCAAGTTTTTGGTAATAATAGTCTGAAGACGTGTTCTGGTTTTCATAACTGACTTTTGAAATACTAGCTTCACTATTTTTAATTAAATTGTTATAATTTACTTTTGATATTAATTTAGTACAGTAATTCGATCTCTATGCTTTAACAATCGCACACCTGCTCGCCCGTTGGGAGTGTAGTTGTAGAAATTGTTCTGCTCAGATACGTTTTTAAATTAATTAAACTAATACTCCGTATTCATTTTATTGTGTGCCGACCATTCATGTGCAAGTCTAACTACTCCATCGCCCAAAACATCTTTTGTTTATAAGTTTCCTCGAAATTAAACGAGCATTTGGAACAACGATTGTCAACGAACCGAAATAAAAACTTTTCCCACTATTTGGTTGTTGAGTCATTGAGTATGAAGGTTGTTTGCTTTCTGCGTTGGAACGCTCTATAATTTCGTTAACTTCTATACTATACTCGTGGCAACATTCTGACAATCACGAAGGCACTGTGCACGCAGACAATACGCGATATATTCTAGTTATTCTGGAAAATACCCATCTAACATTGATAATATTTTCACTGGCTGTAATTTTTAATGTCCAGAATTTGGTACCACTGTCGGAAGAACACTTCTTCTTTCTTCTTGGTGAATTATTAGACAATTTGTCAAATAATTACACAATAACCTTTTCATTCAGACAATAATGCATCACTTCATAGATGTGTAGCAGTGAAGCCAGCATCGTGCATACCTCGGGATTAATTACAAAACAAACACTGAGGAAAGCAATCAAACCGAATATCCGGGATCAGTCCGTTCGTCAAAATGAATTATTTATAATTTCAAATATTCATTGGTTTTATTATTAATAACAATAATAATTAGTAGTATTAATAATATCAATGAATAAAAGTAGATGGAGAGATTATTAAGTGTTCGTTCGCATACAATTCGACATGTTATTATCGAGACTATGCATTGCTGAAGACTATGTATGGCAGAATGTTGTATACCCTAAGCTGAGAAACAACAGAAATCAATTCATCACCCAAGGTGATCACAATAAATGAATGAAAATAAAAAACAACAACGAAAGAACAAATGTTGGGCCCTTAAAAAAAGTGCATTCCAACGAAAGCCAAAAGTAAACAAGAACATTGCATACACGAGCATCTCAAGGAATTGAATAACATTACGATAAAGGAGATCTGATAGAAGATATAAAAGACAAACATGGCAAAGTACTAACGAAAATATAAATATGGCGGGAAAATACACAGCTATACAACACTGCAACAAAGACTTGTGCCCAGAGTCCAACTAAATTATTTGCAAACTGGAAGCATAAACAATATTTCCAGAAAACTAATACATAACAGAAAGTTATACACCAATCGAGTCAGTGGGAGAGGGGAGACATAGATGTCGAAACTAGTTCTATGTAGCAACATTTGACATGTAGCCTTGAAGACGTTAGTGTGGATTCTAAGATGACACGATAATACGCAATTGCAATTGTTGCGATACATACATGCATGCATGATTCTGCTAAAATATAGATATGCTATATGGATTGCATTACGGACACCGTATGAATCATTTCAAAGGCCCATGAGTTATGTACTTTAACGATATGCTTTTATGCTTGATTGATTGTCAAATAAAAAAAAGTTTGAATGCGTGGATAGTAACACTTAAATTTTGACATGGCAATTTCACAACACCTTACTGTTTTGATGAAGTGCTTGAACAACAAACAAGAAGCCAGCCAAGCAACCACGAGAACGGTTGGCACCTTTGCTGAATTGTTCAATGTCCGGTGTGTTAGGGTTTTTTTCTTGTCACTTCGTGAACAACGAAATACTAGATCTGCTGATTAATGTGACAGAAAACCTCAAAGCAGAACACTTTTAAATATAATCACAAAAATGGACTGCAAGGAGAAATATTGACAGGCAGTGTGTGGGTGTTTTTATAACAGTAGAAGTGGAGCCAGTGTTCCGGAAGTGGAGCCAGTGTTCCGGAAGTGGAGCCTTTCTGTATAAGTGGGGCCCCAAACATGGGGACTCACAATGTTTCATAAATTATATTAATATTTAATCGAATTCGAGTCAAGTTTGCGAAGCTTAGGTTTAGTAAAGGGAGAAGGTATAGTTCAATTAATATTATTATTAATATAATTGTACCATACCTTCCCCGTTACTAAACCTAAGCTTCGCAAACATGTCTATGTTCAGTCACAGCATTTTCAACTTTTATTTAATCAAACTTAATTAAAACGCAATTCTACGTTGTATTGCATTGTAATTGAGTTTAATTAAACTCCAATTAAAACGCAACCCTATATAGGAACGCGTTTTAATCGAGAATCGAGTTCATATCACAACTATATTAAAAGTTAATTCAACTTTATTAAAGTTAATCCAATGTGTGGCGTCAC